GAGTTTTTCAGTGGGTTTGTCATCATTCCTCAGTTGACTGTAGTTGGGCAAATAATATTTTAGTTGATGCTGGAATTTATTAGAATATCAGATTGATGTTGTAAATAGCCGGACATTCTCAATTGATTCTCTAAGACTTTAGGCTCTGGGAAAGGTTATTTGTGACTAGCTATGCATACATGGTACCTAAATTAGATAAGATTTAAAGGTGAAAAAGATGAGCAAGAAACAGAACTGTGGGTGTGTAAAGATGCAAGACAGTTGCAGATTTTAGAATCACTGTTGAGAAGTAAATGAAATCCACCACTTTAGCCCTATAATCTATCTTCTGTCCAAGGCTGAAATTCTGCCTTATATATTCAAGGAATGATAAGGCATGCATTCCTGCAGGAAGACAAGTAATGTGTCATGGCAACTCTTGAGTAGATCTGGAATCAACTAAAAGGCAGACAAATGGCACTGCTTTGAGGAATTTCCTTGATGGGATTTTTTGACAGGAGCAGACCCACCCTAAATGTGGGTAGTACATGCAAGAAGTAAGCCTCTGCTTATTTTCTGTTTGCCTTCATGCTTGAAGACAAGTTCATCTACCCTGTTCCTGCCTCTGCCACATTCTTCCGACAACATTTGAACAAGCTTCTTCAGCTTCCAATATGAAGACTAGCTGCTCTCCAAGAATTCCCAAGCTTTCAGCATCAGATTAGAATTTCTAAAACATTCAGCATTGTGAACCAAGCAACTACTAGACTTTTGGCCTCTCTTACGTGAATCTGCCATTACTGGATGACCCAGAACATGTTCTGTAGGCCAACCTGACAGAACTCTTTTAATAAATATTTTTTATTTTTTCCTATGGTTCTGTTCCTTCAGGTACCTCTGAAATATATATATATATTTCATTATATATATATAATATAAATATATATAATATATATTATATAAGATAATAAGATATATTATATATAATACATTTATTATACAATAATAATATATATATTATATAAAATTCTCTCTCTATCTCTTTCTCTCTCTATATATAGATATAGATATGGAAAGCAAAAACCATTTTGGAGTTTGTCTTAGTGTTTTATTGCTGTGAAGAGATCCTATGACCTCAGCAGCTCTTGTAAAGAAAAGTATTTAATTGAAGCTTGCTTATGGTTATTGTGGAGGGGATCATGGAAGCACACAGGCACAAATGGTGCTGGAGAAGTAGCTGAGAGTCCTACATCCAGTTCTGCAAGCAGCAGGAAGAGAAAGAGAGAGAGAACCACTGGGCCTGACTTGGATTTCTGAAACCCCAAAGCTCACTTGATTGACACACTTACTCCAACAAGACCACCTCCTAATCCCCCTTAAGTAGTGCCACACCCTGATACCTAAGCTTGAAATATGTGGTCTTATGGGGCCATTCTTATTCAACCATCACAGTGTTTGTTTTAGTCAGTTTTCTATTGCTGTGAAAACATTAGGACCAAAAACAACTTGGGAAAGAAAGGGTTTATTTGGCTTGTAGGTTATAGTCTATTATCAAGGGAAGCCAAGGCAGGAACCTGAAGACAGGAACTGAAGCAGAGGCCATATTGGCTTGCTCCTCCTAGCTTCCTCAGTTTATTTTCTTATGCAACCCAGGCCTATCACTCACAGTGATCTGAGCCCTCCTACATTAATCATCATGAAATTGGCTTCCTATAGACCCATCTGATATAGGCCATTCCTCAATTGGGAGTCTGTCTTACCAGATATACTTAGGTTTGTGTCAAGTTGACAACAAAACAAAACAACAGAAAACAACAACAAAGCACAAACTCTAAATAGGACAGAGCTAAACAATGGATAACCTCTATGTAAGACAAATTGGGATTTGTTTATTATTTCAAAGCATTCAAATGTCCAATGAAGTTCTAGAGCAAAGAAATAACAAAATAATTCACATTTTAGTAAGAAAATACTTGTAGTAGTATTAAGCAATTGAAGAGAAACTAAAAAAATAAAGAGTAGCTCATTATGGTGGCTTATAAAGGGATGATGATGAACTGAAATAAAGATGAAATAGTATGAATAAATCATGGGCTTAATTTAAGGGTCACATTTTGTGTAGTGTCAAGATTTTGGGTGCTGGGAATTGACAGTAAAAAGGCAGAAGAGAGTAATGCTAAGATTTTCTAATGTTTCTAGTTTAGAGAGTGGAGAGCCAATCAAGACTGCACTAAAAATGGAAGAGGAGATTGTCTCTAACTTAAGCCATTTACAGGTACATTGTTTCACTTTAAATGACATATGATACATCACTACTGCTCTGTTGAAAGGCTACTATATGTGAAGATGTACACAGTTTCACACTTTATTTGGTTTCCCATATGGAGAGTTCCATTTACTGTCAAAAGAGCGCTGAGGATGCAGGGCCCCTGGCCAGGGATTGAGTACAGCTGGGATGAAGCAGAGATGTTTCCCTGTATCTTTGGACTTACAGAAAATGTAATGGTGGTAGAGGTTTTGCAGGTGGAGAAAGAGAAGGACATTGAGAACACCCACGGAATAGTATGACAACAGCAAAACAAGCATTTGGAGGAAAGTAGTTAAAAAAACAAACAAACAACAACAACAATATGGAGTAGAAGAAGATAACACAAGTCTTCATTGTAGATGTGGCGAGTCAAGGTGAGGGCATTGACATTAAACATTGGTATCACAACATATGGAAGGACCTCTGAATGGTTCTGACAGATGCCAGTGGCAAAGCTCCTTTGTGGGGATTATCTCATGAACTCAGTCATTATTTCACTTGTTCAGTTCAGATCTGAGCTGCAATAAGACATCTGTCTGAAAGGAAGTAGACAGGTGCTGCCCTGAAATTTCAGTTTACTGTTATTAAAAGAGACAAGCACTTTCAAAGGACAAGCAGGTACAGTGATACAGAGAGGTGTGACATCTCAGACGAGCTCTCAAACAAGCCTCAGCTCTGAGTTGAAGATACAACCGTCTGTACTTCTTACATCTTGTTTCCTTTTGAGGTAGCATTAAAAACTTAAAGGGAAAATATAAACAGTAAGTAACATTAATAGGCATCATTTATAAATGGAAGTGGCCATTACTGTAATAAAAAATATGTGAATACAAGAAAATTTATCTATTTTGGTCTTGATTGCTGTATTGTATATTTCTTCAGGCTATGAGGTGGGAAGAAAGTATTACACATTTATATACATTTAATAATGCCTTGGATGTAGTTCCCAATTTACTGAATTAAACTTTACCACATTTATATTTTCATTTCTAGTCCTTTAAAAATATAGAGTTTAAATAATGATGTGATGGAGGGCTTGGAAAAGAGTGTGTGTTCTTGTGAAAACTAGCAAGATGAAGAAAAATATAAAACACCAAGCTCAACCTAGAAATCACAAAAATGACATAGATAGATTAAAAAAAATCTTGATCCTAGTAGGATGATTGTTCACCCATTCAGCCTACATTAGCTGTGCAAGCCACACCTGTGGGCCGATTAGAAGCAACAGAACAGACTGCATGAGGCTGGGGTTCAGAGTCTTGGAAATCTGGGATAAAAAGGCAACATAAGACATACAGAAACCGCACACTGAGAACACACTGTGATTTAAACCCCTGCCTCATTCTTAGCATACTGATGAGGTGCTTCTGTTTAAGATTGTTTCCCAAGTTTAAATAAACACGTCTCTGAAATAATTTATACGTTAACGTTAGACATAAAGAATGAGAATGACTGTCTACAAGCATTTATAAGTCTTGAAGAAGATGAATATCTTATTGCTGAAAGCACTAATTACAGATTTCCATATGTACCCCGAGAGTTCTGAAATCAGTTTCTCGGGGTACATTACGTAGTGCTTATACCTTTTTTAAAGGAAAATATAGCACAGTAACATTGAAACAACCATCAAGAGGACTGAAGTTTATGCTCACCTTACAGAAATTATATGTTTCTTAATAAACAGGTACATAATAAACATTTAGAAGATCATTTTCTTCCTCATGATTTCAGGATTTACAAAAATTGGCACTGACTAGAAATCATAAAGAAAGTTTCTTAATGCAGAGAGAAAAATGAAATAGCATTAAAAATTCATTATTAAATATGAGCCACTACTAGTTATTGTAATTACACTAACTGAAGTTCAAGCACATAATTTTAATTTAAAAATATTTTAATTAATTAAGTAATTAATTTTAAGTGCATTGTTGTTTTGACTGCATAAATATCTGTGTGTAGGTGTCAGATACCCTAGAACTGGAATTGCAGGCAGTTGTGAGCTGCCACGAGGGTGCTGGGAATTGAACCTGGGTCCTCTGGAAGAGCAGCTAGTGCTCTTAACTGCCGAGCCCCTAAACATGTACTTTTTATTTTCAAGTAAAATTTTTTTTATCCACAATATTTGAGAAGCAAACTGTACAACACCTGTGAAAAAATAATTACGCTTTTAGTCTTAACTGAAAAAAAGATTTTCCTAGGTACTAAGCTCTGTCCCCTTTCCCCCAAATAGACAATTACAAACATTTTTATTTTAATGAAATAGGAGATTTGGTCTGGCGCTGATAGAGCGGCTGGATGTTAGGGGACAATCCAGCTGAAAAACTGAGGAGAAACCACTTCACGGGAAAACACCGATTTTTCGAACTTAAAAAAACAAAAAAGCTGCTCTCAGAAAAGTTAAACCATAGATAGATTCCGATTTCCTCTCTCAGTACCCGAGGGAAGGCGAAAAACACGTACAACAACTACTGTTGCAGTCTTTAAAAGGGCGCAAAAAGACAGGTGTAAGGTTCCGGGGAGCGCTCTGGCCTCTGACAGACACAGGCGGGGGTGGGGCCTCCAGGGGGTGTGTCCGGGGTGGGACGGGGCGGGGCGAGACCAGGGCGGACTGTCTAAATTTGGCGCCGAGGGGCGTGGCGTGGCGGAGGCGTGGCCAGGGCGGGTGCAGGGGGCGTGGCGGAGCCGGCTCGCGCCCTTTAAAAGGCTGGTGTGTGGCGGGAACCTCCGGCAGATGCTCGCGGCAGGCGGTCATGTCTCTGTCGCGCCCCGCGTGGCCTGCGAAGCCCGCCTGGCCTGTCTCCTCAGAAGCGCCTCCTGAGGACCCCGCTGCGGCGTCACCCAGCAGCAAGCGGCCTCGTCTGAAGGAGCCTGACGGCGATTCTGAGGCAGGGTGGCCGCCGGGATGGCCGCTGCTTGTGGTGCCTCGCTTGTCTGAGGTAGAAAAGGCCTGGGAGTGGTCGCTCAGACCCTTCACGGCGTTCCTCATTCCAAAGAGCCTGGGTTGCTCAGGCAGTGGGGGGCAGCCATGTGGCCCGGGAGGGCAGGACCGAACGTTCCAGACGCAGAGCTGCTGGCAGTCTGGAACCTCTGGAAGAGCAGGTTGTTCGAGGGTTCCAGGAAGGTTTTGTGAAGTTGGGCTGCAGGACAGGGAGGCTCTGGGTGCGTGGCAAGGTTACCAAGCAGAAGTCAGTCAAGCTCCACCCAACACCTCTAGGCCCGATGTCCAAGGAGTCAAACAGGAGCCTGAAGAACTTCCTGTCCGAGAGAAAGCAACCATTCTCAAAGAAAAGAATTCTGTGCGACAGCCAGGAACCCCATTTCTATATGTAACATTTTCTGAGGAAACGAAGTCAACATTACATGAAATTAGAGACAGATGTAAAGTTGACAGTGCTAGAACCTCAGAGAAAAAAGAAAATAAGGTTTCATCATCTTCACTAAAAATACCAAAATTTCGAAACCAGGCCTGTTTGAAAAGCGCCAATCACAGCTATTTTGGAGACAGCATCACAATAATTTTCCCTGTGTTTCCAAGGGATTTAAATAGCAACATGTCCTTTGTCTATTTAAAGGAAAGAGCAAAGAAAAAGAATGACAAAACTGTGGCATATGTTAGGGATTTCACAAACATTTTCTGCTCTCAAAATAGACCTGATGCTAAGAAACAAAAGTTACAGGATGATAAAAAAAATGTATTTGTAGAAAATGATTTTTCTGACTATGAAAGTAATCACCAGTCACTCACTGTTGATGGGAAAATAGACTTGATCAATTTAAACTACTATCGCCACAGTAGTATTGAGTGTGATGTAAAAGACTCTAAGAAAAACTCTACTCTAACACTGGAAGATGCAAACTGGAAGGGAACAGAAAGGAATCTAGACTGTTACATACCTACCAGACAAGAAGAATCTCAAAACTGGGGCTATACCAAATCTAATTTGAAAAGAAAGAGACAAAATTGTTGGAAGATGAAAAATTTTAAGATTATTTGTGAAAATATAAATAACCTTGGAGAAAATTTGGTACAGTTACTAGAGACAGGTCTTTTACACAAGGGAGAGTATCACAATGTGGAAGTCAGGAATGTGCATGAACAACAGTTAAAGATTCTGATGATAGGAACTCTGGGTACTTCCCCCAGTTTAATAAATGTTGTTTGGTTTAATGGTAAAGGCAGAAATGACAATATGCTACATCTGAGATACCATACTATACAAAAATACATTTCAGGAAATAAAGAAAAAAGTAGTTTAACCTGGCATAAAATGTTGACATGTGAAAAGCAGACTGATATTCAAAAGAGTGACTTTTTGGGCAAGCATTTACAAAATTGCATTTTGGAAGTCTTAAATATTATGCTGAAAACCAATATAGTTTCTTTGCCCAATAACTTTGATTCTTTCATAAGAAATGGAGATGACTGGGAATCAGAAGAGAGATGTATTTTCAAATGTATAGTGCATTTGAATTATTTGAAAACTATTATAAAGGAAAGTCATATATATGTCTATCTAACAGCGATGTTAATTTCTTCAAGACCATTAGAAAGTAATACAAAATCTATTGCAAAGAAAAGAAAGCTATTTAAATTGGAACATGTTTTTGAAAGGGCTAAGAAAAAAAACATCAGTTCTCTTACTATAACAACTAAAAGTTTTCCAATTTACAAACCACATGAAGATTTTCCTCTTTTAATGGATTTTGATAACATGGAAGGATTTTCTTTGACAAAAGAACTGAGTTACAAAAATACAAGTTGTCCCAAACACCTTCTAAATGTGGAAAGTTGTGCTTACTATAGTGCTACCCATGTGAAGTCTGATCCTCTATATATTCAGAATAATTGTGGACATAATGAAAAATATTATGAAAGTAGTATGTACAATCAAGATTTAGATATTGAAAGAAAATGGAAGGATAAAACCACTCATTTCATTTTTAAGTTTATATGTGAAGATGTCTTTAATTTTAGGCAACTGGGCACATTGCTAAGCCAAAATACTACATACAATAACCAGATGAATGTTATGGCGATAACTCAGAAGTTAAGCTCAGAGAATTTGTTAGGTGAAAAAGAAGAGAAAATATATGATTTTATTTTGAAGAAAGACGTGAAGGTCACAAAAAGTGCAAGTAGTTGCCAAGCTCATAAAGCTGTTGACATAGAGGAGGAAGAGGATAGTTTTCTCCCAATGGACAGAATGTCTTCAGTGCTGTCAGCTTTACTTGTGAGTAGAAGTGTAACTATGGAAGAAACTAAATCTGTTAATCAAAATAATGGAACCAACAAAAAAGAGGATGGAGGTATTTTGCAAGAAATTGAGCTAGCTAATTCAAAGCATTTTTATCCAAAGAATGACTCTATATTGTATGCTAATCATCAACTTGAAAGGGATTCAAATGAAGAGAACAATGGATGTTTTCAAGGCTTAACTGTTAAATGTTTATCAACAGAAACTCTGCCAATAGCAAAAGATTTTGATATGAAGAGTAAATTTGATTTAGTACTTGAAGAACTTCGTATGTTTCATGAAATTAGTAAGGAAAATGAAATCCCAAGTACCGTGGAAACAAACAATAGGAAAGAAAATTACTTTGGAGAAAGTAATGATGTTAAAGTGGCAAGAATGGAGATAGGAAAAAATCTAGAAATGGCTGAAATCAACAAGAAAGATACACCTTTGCCCTGTGATGTGAAAGCAGGCTCCAATAAATATAAAAGGCATGAAGGTTTATTTAATTGGAAAGCAATACCTACTCTTGAAGGACAGGCAGTTCTCAACGAGTATTGTTGCCCAAGGTCAAAGGAAGAATCACTCCATTCTACTGAGGAAGGTATGCCATTTATTTTAAAATTTCTTACTTATGATAAAAAGTTAGTTTTTCCCATATGTGGAAAAATATATATATATAACAAATAAAATAGAAGAGTGTTCATTAATGTATACTATTTTCCCCAAAGAGCTATTAAAATGTTAGATAATAAACTGAAGTTAAACAAAATTATTTAAATTTAAAAAGCTTTGGAGTCTTATATAATTTTGCTAAATATTAGGAGCCAATAGAAGGTAGTATGTATAAATCATGGTTTGCCAATATTGTTAATATTTGTAGACAAAAGTTAATTTCTCTAGAGAGGGCTTTAACCAGCTAGTCAATGGAGCAATGTTAAAGATAGTTTGGGCTATAATATGTTAATGTTTATTTTCAGATTATAAGAAAGCTTTATCTAAAAGTCATGCTTTTTCTCCGGATGAATGTAAAAAAGAAAAACATAGTTATTTATTGAAGGGAGGTAAGATCTGTTATTTTCTGGATCTGTTAAGTTTTAAGATGGCTGTCATATTGTTTTGGCATGATGAAAATACTACGGTTGGTAGAAAACAAATATAAAATTTTATGGTTTGAAAAATACCAATGTTACTAATTTCAATAGGTAGAAACTGGCTGAAAATTAGAATAATACTGGAAGGTGCCCTCTGCAAAGTATGCTCAATGTATGTAGTAATACATGACAATAATCTAAGTGATAAGACACATGTTATAAATGTGTGATTCATCGTTTATGCACTATTAGTTGGCAAAATAACAAACAAAAGAGAATCCCAGTTGGATTCCCATTCTAGAAATGTCACTCCCATGTGCTCAATACTTTTTACCTTTATGCAATGTATCTCCTTATGTGGGTCTTTACAAACCTGAACAATTTACTCATACTGATCTGGGGTGTGGTGGCTCACACGTTAATCCCAGCACTAGAGAGGTTTTGACAGGAGAATCTTGTACAGGTTTGAGGCCAGAAACAAGGCCTAAGTACTCTAGCAGTTATTTATTATTATTATTTAGGTGTCAACATGGTTTTGACTATGATTATTATACTTTCATTGTTAACTGCTATTAAAGAAAACAACCAAAGAAAAATTAAACAATTGTCAATAATCCTTAACTAAGAATTTTTTTTGGTGTAAGAATAAAGCAAAATCAAATATATATTCTAACTTGTACAAATGGGTCTAGATAACATTAGAATTGAAATTAGAGAACAAGGTGACTTTATAGTCTTGTTATACATTTATATAACAATATTAAATTTAAGAAGACTACATTGAAAATAAAATATATTTACTCAAATGTCTTTAGTGAGCCACCATTGCTCTCTCTCCTCTCTCTCACACACACAGATATATATGTGTGGAAAGTTGTGCTTACTATAGTGCTACCCATGTGAAGTCTGATCCTCTATATATTCAGAATAATGTGGACATAATGAAAAATATTATGAAAGTAGTATGTACAATCAAGATTTAGATACTGGAAGAAAATGGAAGGATAAGACCACTCATTTTATTTTTAAGTTCATATGTGAAGATGTCTTTATTTTCAGATTATAAGAAACCTTTACCTAAAAGTCCTGCTTTTTCTCCGGATGAATGTAAAAAAGAAAAGCATAGTTATTTATTGAAGAAAGGTAAGATATATATATATATATATCTGTCACAGATAGATACACATACACACACACACACACACACACACACACACACACACACACACACACATATTTTGGCTCCTGGAGCACCTGCAGAGACTTATGAATCAACCAAGGACCATGCACATAGAGTAGTATTAAAGTCATACTAATTCACTAAAGCTCAATTTATGGGTTTTACAAGTGCACTACATAGGTTATGTGGAAAAAAACCTCTTAATGGTAATGCAATATATCTATCTGTCTAAGCTAGCTGACCAAAGAGAAATACAGCTCTTTGAAACATTTGAATTTCTTGGAAAGCAATGAAGTATGATGTTAAGAAAAACTAAAATTCAGAGTAATCTGTAGTTGTAATTATACTTGTATTCTATTAAACAATAATCTCTATTAGAAACCAAATATAACCATTAACAACATAGCAGAATTGATTATCTTCTAATTTAAAAGTAAAATGCATAAAGCACAGTATCAAGTTAGCTTAAACCTTAATTAGTTTTTGGTTTTATTGTTCTTGTGTCAGATTTCCTGACGTGAATACTGATCTTATGTAGGTGTTATATACATAGAAAGGGTTTCTTACTTTTCCTGTACTTACCTTACCATATTTTAGAACTGGATACAGTAGGATTAAGTACAATAATGCATTTAAAGTGTCAATCCTTTACAAATGTGGCTAGCGTCATAATTACAAATAAAGACTTTTAAGCCTATTGGTAATTTTTGCATCTTTCTGTAAATTATATTGTCCATTTTGCAGGCAGTCATTTATCACATGGCATTTCCAGAATACAGCCTCTTAAGACATGCAGTCGTCCGATTAGGGTTGGCTTGTCAAGAAGAGCTAGGCCGAAACAACTTCATCCTTATCTGAAATGAATGAGTTGTAAGGACTTACAAGAAGCTTCGGGACTTTAACAGTTCAGCACGTCTAGGAATGTTTTATTTTTGCTTTGTATAAGTGTTTTTCTTCAGTGTGGAGATTTTGTGCTTTCTTTATAGAGTATAGAGAGGTTCTTTTGTGTATTAATTCTTTTATTATCATTAAAAGAAAACTTTTCACTGATATTTCATGTCATGGTTAATATACATATTAAAATATTTTCATGATCTTATAAACCACTTCAGCTTCTTAGTTTTCATGACATATGTATGTAATCCCTTTGTAGAGAAAAATCTATAAACTTTGATATGTTCTGAAAGGATCTATGGTTTATAAAAAATTAACACACCTCTGTTCTAAACTACTTTCTATATTTTGGCATGTATATAATATCTTTCCTTATAGAGCCTTCGTTCCTTTCTTTCTTTCCTCCCTCCCTCCCTCCCTCCCTCCCTC